GTCCCTCCAGTCGGACAAGCTGCATTAGTTTAACGACCTAGTGGGGGGGGGAAAAATCAACATGTTTAAATTGACCCAGAAAAATAAATTAACTTTATTTACAAATCAGTCTAACAACTGAAACCAGATTTTTCCCCCCAACTTTTCTAGATCTTTAATGGCATCGTCAATATCTAACATCTCACATTTGAGGAAAGGTCATTTGAATCAATACTGAGCACATTTCTGCAAAGTAACAGCCTGGTGAGATTTTAAGAGCCAAGATTTAGACATGCAGTATATCATGAAAATGGAACCTCAACTGACTTTTTACTCTAATGGCACCTTAATATCACATAGCAATCGATAATTACAGCACTCCAAGAGGAGGAATCTGAACTATTGGGAAAGACACTAAGGAAGTATGTTGTCTTCTTATTCAAAGGACACATTATGCCAACAGCTGCAGATGGATAACGCAATACTTGGATATTCAGCCTTTATAAGCTCTGATATGGCAGCTCAGGTTTGCTCCCAAGCAATGCATCATGAAGTAACATCTCCACAGGCTTGGCATAATTAACTCTTCATGATTTATTATGCTGCAGTAGTTAAGTCTGTTTCATCACTTTCATTCTAAATACTATGTTTCAAGAGTTTATAACTTGGGCATGCACAGTAACTTCAGTATACAAAAGTTTCTAGAGGATTAGCATAAGACTTAATATGCTTGCAAAGCACAGAACAAACCAGTTCCTTTGGAAACACTAATATCTCTTGGATCTATGAATCAGAAGGTTTTACCCTACTAAGAAAGACGAGGCATGTCTCTGCACAGAATGACAAGGCAGGGATGGCTTAATGAAGGTGGTGTTTATCTGCTTTCAAAATCCAACTGCAGACATCACACGTTTACCTGGCAGCAGAGACACACCAAAGCCATATAAAACACAATACTTTCTTTACCGTTGTCCTCCAAGGCTTCTTCAGAGTCATTAAAATTGACCAGGTGTTACCGTATGCGCACACACACACACACACACACTGTATCAGGGAGGGAAGATGGATAAATACTCTGTTAATTTACTACTTAAGTACTTAAAATGTCCAAGCAACCTTCTCTGAGATCCTTCCTGTCCCACAACAGCAGAAAGGCAGAAGATTCAGGAAGTGAACCATTGGCTAGGTAAGTGGTGGAAGGTTTTAGTTTTGTTAAACACTAGTCTAACTTCTGTTGGGAGAGGGATCCATATAGTTTGGATAGCCTCCACCTCAATAAAAAGGAAACAAATCTCCTTGGGGACAGCCTGGTTAGAGTAATCAGGAGGTCATTAAACTAACAGCAAAAGGGGATGGTAAAAAGAGGGAAGAACTCATCACAAAATCAAGATGTTGAGAACAAAATTAATCAAGGAACCAAAGGACACGAAGAGACGAAATTCCTGAATTGCCTATACACCAATGCTAGGAGCCTGTAACAAACAAAAAGAATTGGAATTGCTCATTTGTGAGCATAAATTCAATCTATTTGGTATTACTGAAACCTGGTGGGATGTACCATACTATTGGAATGTTAAAATCAATGGTTATAACCTATTTAGGAAGGATCGAGTAGGCAAAAAGGGAGAGGGAGCGGTATTTTATGTCAAAAATGGCATTACCTGTTTCCGAGTCACAGATAACTCGGAAGAAAGTGATGTTGAATGATTATGGACCAATGTCCTAAGAGATAAAGCATAAGATGGGGTATTAGTTGGTGTCTGCTACAGACCACCAAATCACACTAGGGAACAGGATGACGGCCTCCTTACGTGCCTATCTATAAATTGCAGGCAAAAAAATGTGTATGATCAGGGGGGATTTCAATTTGAGTGTCATATGCTGAAGGTCTCATGCTGCCAGTACTAAAACATCCTTGGAATTTCTAAACATTATAGATGACAATTTCTTAACTTAGAAAGTATTGCATCCAAGACGTGGGAATTCTTTATTAGATCTTGTCTTAATAGATAAAGAGGACGTGACCACAGAACTAAAATTAATGGTAGCTTCGAGACAAGTGATCATTCCTTGATCACATTTATAATGTACAGAATAAAGTCCAAACCAGCAATATATATACTTGGTGCTTTACTAGGACCAAATTACAAAGCTGAAAACAATTATGAGCCAAATCAGCTAGGAGGAAGAATTTAATCAGAAAAGTGTGAATGATAATTGGGAATCATTTAAGAACATCTTACTGGACGCCCAAAAACTCACAATTAAGGAAGAACACCACACTAGTTAAAAAAGTGAGCTTGTTCAGAGGGGAAGTGAAGGCAGCTATAAAAAAATAATTAATAAATAATAATAATAATAATAATATATAACCAATGGAAGGAAAGGGAAGTTGACAGAAATGAATATACATCAGAAGTTAGAATTGTAAAAAACTGATAAGGGAAGTAAAGGAACCCAAGAATAAATATATGGCAAACAGCATTAAGGACAATAAGGAGTATTTAAAGCATATTAGGAACAAAAAGAATCCTGACAAAGGTATTGGTCCATTACTAGATGGAAATGGTAGAATCATCAATAATAATGCAAAAAACCAGACAAGATAGTTTAATAAATATTTCTGTTCTTTATTTGGTGAAAAAGAAGATGATATAGTCTCATCCAGGCTTTAGAGCGGAGCGCGGAGCTGGAGCAGCTCCGGAGCAGTGGAGCTGCAGATTTTTGCCTGGAGCTGGAGCAGAGCCGGAGCACAGCTCTAAAGCCCTGGTCTCATCATATGGTCATGATACTACTCCTTCCATTCCACTAGTATCTCTGCAGGATGTTAAACAGAAGCTACTAAAGTTAGACATTTTTAAATCAGCAAGTCCAGATAATTCTTTGATGCAAGAGTTTTGAAAGAGCTGGCCGAGGAGCTTGCTGGACCATTAATGATGATTTTCAATATGTCCTGAAACCTCCCCAGTTCTCCAAAGGGCCGTAAGATAGGTAATGTTATGCCAATTTTAAAAAAAATAAACAGGATGACCTGGGCAATTACAGGCCTGCCAGCCAGACACTGATCCTAGTCTCAATTGAGACTTAAAGGAGGGCAATGTAATTAATGCAAGTCAACATGGGTTCATGGAAAATAGATTGTGTCAAACTAAATTTATATTTTTTTTGATGAATTTACAAATCTGGTTGATAAAAGTAATAGCGTTGATGTAATATACTTAGACTTCTGAAAGGTGTTTGACTTGGCACCCCACAACATTTTAATAAAAAACTAGAACGATATATGGCACATGTTAAATGGATTAAAAATGGCTAACTGACAGATCTCAAAATGTAACTGTAAACTGGGAATTTTCATTGAGAGGCTGTGTTTCCAGTTGGTCCTGTAAGGATCAGTTCTTGGCCCTATGCTATTTAACATTTTTATTAATGACCCAGAAGAAAACATAAACCCATCACTGATAAAGTTTGCAGATGACACAAAAATTGTGGGAGTGGTAAATAATGAAGATAGGTACTGAGTCAGATTATCTGGATTGCTTGGTAAACTAGGTGCATGAAAACAATGTGTGTTTTAAAACAGCTAAATGTAAATGTATACATCTAGAAACAAAGGATGTAAGCCATACTTACAAAATGGGGGACTATCCTGGGAAGCAGAGATGGAAAAAAGATTTGGGGGTCATGGTGGATAATCAGCTGAATATGAGCTCCAATGTGATGCTGTGAGCAAAAGAGCTAATGCGATCCTGGGATGGATAAACAGGGGAATCTTGATTAGGAAGACAGAGGTTATTTTGCCTCTGTATTTGGCACTGGTGTGACTGCTGCTGGAATACTGTGTCCAGTTCTGATGCTCACAATTCAAGGATGGTGATAAATTGGAGAGGGTTCAGAGAAGAGCCATGAGAAGGATTACAGGGTTAGAAAATATGCCTTATAGCGATGGCCTCAAAGAGAGCAATCTATTTAGATTAACACAGCCAAGATTAAAGGGTTACTTGATTACAATCTCTAAATATCTATATGCAGAACAAATATTTAAAAATGGGCTCTTCAATCTAGCAGAGAAAGATGTAACATGATCTAGTGGCTAGATGTTGAAACTAGACAAATTCAGACTGAAAACAAGGCATAAAATTTTTCACAGTAAAGAGTAATTAACCATTGGAACAATTTACCAACGGGTGTACATTCTCCATCACTGGCAATTTTTAAACCAAGATCAGATATTATTCTAAAATGTTCTAGGAATTATTTTGAGGAAGTTCTATGGCCTGTCTACAGGAGGTCAATCTACATCACAATGGCCCCTTCTGGCCTTGGAATCTGAATGGAAGGCTCTGGCACACCCACCTACCTGTTTAATCTGGATGCTGTATTAATCATTACAAATAGAAATCAGTTGTGGTTTGGAGAACATTTGCAACACCTAAATACAGCGAAACAAATAAAGGGTTTTAGCCCTAATTCTCCAATTTAAACCTTGTCTTAGTTTGTCACAAACTTAGTATTATTTCATGGTCTGAATATACATTCTTCATTTCTCAAAGCATGTGATTTATATTTGACACCTTGTTTATACCTCATTTTCTGACATCATCCCCGGAGTAAGCTGCGGACCTGTTCCCAAAGAAATAACCAGTACTTCTTCTGGCTGAACTTCCTGTATAGAATCCTGGGAGGATCCTTCATGGTCTCCATGCTGGTCCATCGGAATATTTGATCTGTTTCTGCTACGGGTAGCTAATGATGCATGTTAAAATACAGAGTGTTATGAAGGTTTTCAATATTTAAACTCTCAGAGTATCTACAAATGCTATACAAATACACAAGTGTGATGTTAGCGCATGCATATCAAAGAATGGGCAAAATGCAAAGTACAATTTACAACTTTCTGGAAAGGTGGAAATTGATACTGGGGATGTGCAAAACTGACACTGGGGCTATGTAATTATTTAAATATTGCACTACTGTGAAAATATCAGACTTGTAGCATAGTGGCTTAAGAAGCATATGCTTCTCCATTAACCCCCAGATATTCCTGCCCGAGATGGGCAGGACAGCTTTCCCTTTAGGTTCTCTGCACACATTCTTCCTTTGCAAGAGAGACTCCCCTCTGCTTCTGTACCATTGCAAAAACAGAGCACCACCACAAAGGCACTTTAGTTCCCATGTTTAAAATACCTTTTAAGGAGTGGTGGGTTTTTTTCCTACAAACTGCAGTCATGCCAACCTCACAGCCTCATGACCTAAAGGCACCTTACGTTGATAAGAGATCTTCATTGCATTAAATAATAGGAAAATGCTCATCAAAAAGCACCAGGAGACCAAGACAAACAAATGAAGAACACCTGGAAAAGCAATTTTTTGCATTTGTGCAATGAACCATTTATGGGTTCTGCCTGGGCCCTTGCTGAATTCAACAAGCATGGAAACTTAAAGAACCTATTGTTACCAGCTAGAAGGGCATCAAGCTTCTTATGGCTAAGAGGTCTGTTCAGAAACAATGTAGAGCAGTGGTCCCCAACCTTTCTGTTGTAATAGCACATTCATGTTCCCAGAAGGGTGTGGCGGGCTCTGGACGACCAGCCGCCGAAAAGCGGTGACATCGAGAAGCGCCGCCACCGAAATGCCGCCGAGAACAGCGGCATTTCGACGGCAACGCTTCTTGGCATTGCTGCTTCTCGCGGCATTTCGGCGGCTGGTTGTCCTTCTCAGTAGGCGGGCACACATAAATGCCCCGGCGGGCACACTGCGTTGGGGACCACTGATGTAGAGGGTAGATATGGGGGCAGGAAGGAGAAAGATGAAGTGGAGAGAGAAATTTGCATTTAATTTATTTATTTATTAAACTTGAAGGTCTAAAAAACAGCTCCCCATTTAAAATTCTAATCTCCAAGACCTCTGACAAGACTGATTATTTAATGCTATGCACTAGGCCAGTGGTTCTCAAACTTTTGTTCTGGTGACCCCTTTCACATAGCACGCCTCTGAGTGCGACCCCCCCCTATAAATATATAAAAAGTGTTTTTAATTTAACACCATAAAGCGGGGTTTGGGGTGGAGGCCAACAGCTCACAACCCCCACCTAATAACCTTATGACCCCCTGAGGGGTCCTGACCCCCAGTTTGAGAACCCCTGCACTAGGCCATGAAGTAACTATTAGATTACAAATTAAGCTTTTTGGGGCATCATCTGCTACAACATGTTTGTATAGTGCCTAAAGCCCAGATCCTTAATAAGCACTGTTAGAGCACTACTTTAATAAGAATGGCCATACTGGGTCAGATCAAAGGTCCATTTAGCCCAGTATCCGGTTTTCCGATAGTGGCCAATGCCAGGTGCCCCAGAGGGAATGAACAGAACAGACAATCATCAAGTTATCCATCCCCTGTTGCCCATTCCCAGCTTCTGCCAAACAGAGGCTAGGGACACCATATAAATAAATAAAACGTATCCCTTCAGCATTCACCAGCAAACTCTCTGGACTACATCCAGACATCAGTGATAGTTACTCAACATATGTTAACTGGTGCCCATCCCGGAATGCCTGCAAGAATAGGTAAAGAATTCAGAGGAGACACACAACTCTCACTGTAAGGGAAGGCACACAGGCAACAATTCAGACAGTGCTGTTTAGAGCAGCTACCTGAACTCTTACTTAAAAACAAACCAACAAATAAAACTTTCCAGCCAAACGTACAGCACTACAAAAGAATTAAGGCCCTGCATCCCATGAGTTGCTAAGCACTTGCCAATACAGTCAACAGAAGCAAGAGGCACACAGCCCCTTGCACGACTAGGTTCTAAAGCAGCATTACTGAAGGCTTTCAATGTTTTGTAGAGTGAACCTTTTAAAACAGTTTGGGACTTTATTGGGCAAGTCCTTTTCAGTGTACACTAGATGGAATGTGTCAAACACTTATAAGCAAAAGCTGGTAAGCCCTTATTCTTTTTACCTCTTGGGCATGCTAAATTTATAATTTTTGTGATGGCATAAAGAAAACGGAAAATGCCACTCTAAGCCTGACCTAGGATGGTTCTACCCTGTTCAGAGCAGGTGCTGGTAACAGAAATAAGTCATTCAGAACAGTGGTATGCCACACCTTGCACTGGAGAGCCACTCAGCAAGAAGAACTGCAGGAAGTCACACACAAAAAAATCACAAACCTGAAGACTCGATGTTACATCATCAGGAATTGACAAACACATGGCAAAGCAAAATCATAACACCATCCTGATTACTTTGTGGTTCTCTAACTCCTTTTAATATAATCTTCTCTTCCTCTCCCCATTCTGGACACCTTGGAGAAAGAGTCAAGGACCTGAAGTTCCTTATCTTATCTAGGGGCTGGCAGCATGGCATCAATTTCCTCAGTTGAAACATGGGAGCTGAGGCCAAATGTGAAACTTGAGAGTTAAATTTTTACCTTCAATTATCATGCATCAAAGGGAGAATAGGTTTTTTAGGTTACTACATTTTTCTAGCTATTTAAGTAGGAATTGGCCTTCGTAATGGAACGAACAAAGAAGCCTGGCACAAAGCAAATTAAAGACAAGCATGAGAAGCATGGTTTTATGAAGTGAATAGAAGTGTTGCATAGATGAAGAAGGGAAAGAGTCCATTACCCACCAAATGGGGTTACTAGATTAATGTGAGCTGAGAGATTGGTGGTAGAAGTATCCCAGGCAGTAATGGCTGCCAACTGTTGTCCTGGGTTTCGACAGCATTAAATAGAAACAAAATCAAGCCTTTGAACAACAAAAATATTTTAAACTGTAAAATAAATACAAACAAGTTGTTACTTCACTAATGTAAACTTAGAATAGCAGTTGTGCACAGAGAGGTAAGGATAACTCAGGGTACCAAAATGAGGTTTTAGTAATTGCTACCGTTAATTTACTATTTTAAGTATAAATATTTTTGCCCTATGTTACAGATAAATACCAAGCTCTTTTTCTACTGAATACCAATATTCCAATCATATAAGTAAACACTAGAACAGAGTGCAATACTTTAGGATCTAGAGGAAAAAAGTGTCACATTTTGAGATGGGATATTTTTGAGCTGAAAAGGTATAAGATCATGAAATTCTATGCTTCAGAAGAGAATGCGCTACATTACATCAGTAGCCAGATTTAAGACAGCATAATTACAAGTTTCAGAGTAGCAGCCGTGTTAGTCTGTATCCGCAAAAAGAACAGGAGTACTTGTGGCACCTTAGAGACTAACAAATTTATTAGAGCATAAGCTTTCGTGGACTGCAACCCACTTCTTCGGATGCATAGGCAATCTCCCCTCTTACACTGCTTAGCACTTTTTTAGCATTATCTTCAATGGATCCCCCTTCCTCCCATTTTCCATATTGGTGTTGCCAAATGTCTGCACCCTGACTTTCTTCCCCACTCCACTCTCATCGCTTGAGTGATCATCTCCACTCTCATTACCTCCAGGGTGATGATTTAAATCTACCTCCCCATGCCTAACCTCTCCCCAACTGACCAGATTCCCATCTCTTCCTGTCTCTCCAGCATTTTATTGCAAAGATTCTGCCACTTCTCTAAATATTGCAAAACCTGAACATCCGTCTTTCCTTTTACTTTCTCCTCCTATCCAAATGCTCTCTGTATCAATGTTGACAACTGCACTATCCTCACCACCACTCATTCTCTCCTATCCACTGGCCTGCACCATTTCACTAACATATGCTGATTAGATTATATTAAGTCTGCATTACATGCGAACTAGGAACCCTACAACTTCATTTACTATATGAATACACTAAAATTCAGTCTGGTCTAAGAGGTGTAAGTAGGAGTAAAGGAAAAATTACACTATGAATTGGAACTATTAGATTATCGAATATTCTTCCAAGGAAAGTGGTGGAAAAATCATTTGGGAAATTTCAAACTTGACTAGACAAGGTACTAGAAAAAAAATATGGTAAAAGAACAGTCCTGCTAGAGTGGTTACACCAGAAAGATGATCCAACAGATTTTTTCATTACATAAAGTATGATTCAATGACAACTATGCTACACACAAACTCACACACAGTGGAAGTGGTGTGAAGAAAACTTAAGCATATACTACAAGAGGACTGACGAAATGCTGAAGAAGTGTATACAGGGTGCAGGAAAGCCTATGAACAAAAAGCTTTTGCAGTAAGAATTTCTCTCAATCTTCCTCACCTATAGGCAGTCGATTTTTTTTGTTAGCTGGGGTAGTTGCAGGGGAGAGTTGTGGGGTATTGTAAGGAGTCATTTCAAGGCTGCTACTTTTCCCGGGTTTGTTCTGGGGTAAGTTTGCCAACAAGTTTTCCAGAGCCATCCGATCTTCCTTCAGTTGGTCACTTGACATTACATTTCGCATAAAACCAACCTACAAAATTAGAGTTTGTATAATTAAGAAGGGAGCATGAAGCTACATAGTAACTTACTACACCCACTTCTCTCTCTCTCCTGCAAGTATGTGCAGGAAAATATTACTCCTATTGAAGAACCAGGATATTACCAGATTAATAAGTTGGCTGTATGTCATATAAACCACAGTCCTACTCAACCCTTCTAGAAGGTTAACTGAAGACATCGGAGGGGTTTCCACAGCACGCCCACTAATAACAACATCCAGGAAAGCAGCAACACAGCTCTGCAAGGAGAAGACGTAGGTTTTTTTAGTGAATGGTTTCAAATTTTAGAGCTACAGAAGAACACAAAGGTACAAGAGGTATATACATAATTTACATGGGAATATCAGTTTTGCTGCTTATATATATATATATATATATATATACACACACACACACACACACACACACACACACACGAC